GTATTTTCAAGATTGAGAGTCATTCAACTATCGTTTCAGATTGTTCGCTCCTATCAGCTCGCGTGCCACTCAACAGGTATATCTCAAACTCTCGGTACCCGACCTTTTCGTGTTCCATCGTACCCCCTTGGCGGCAATCGTTCTTAGCTGCCACGCGCATGTAGCGCAGCCCCTAAAACAGTTTTTTTTGGGGGGGGGGTCCGCGGGTCAAGAGCGAGCCTCTTCCGGTGAAGAGCCAGCAGCCCCTAAGACAGGGGAGGACAGGAAGGACGGAAGGGGAGGGGATAGAGGGACGGAGCACGAGAGGAATTTGCAGGTGGGGTGTCAAGGGGCTGAAAGCACGTGGCTGAACCAGACGGGCAGATCGGGCGGGCAGACCCCTAAAGCAGGGGAAGGCAGGCAGGATGGAAGGGGAGGGGAGAGGCATGGAGCACGAGAGGAATTGGCAGGTGGGGTTTGTCAAGGGGCTGAACACACGTGGCCGAACCAGACGGGCAGATTCGGGCGGGCAGGCCCCCTCGGGGGCGGGTGTCGGGAAGGCGGGCCCAGGCGGCCAGGTCGAGCAGCCGGCGGCAGCATAGATCCCGCACGAGAATCGCGGGGGAGGCTCGGGAGCGATGGCGCGCTTCCCGAGCAGATCGTGAGGAAAGCCGAGCCGAACCGAGAGCGGGATTGTGAATGTCGAGGATCCGGGCGGGCAGGCCCCCTCGGGGGCGGGTGTCGGGAAGGCGGGCCCGAGCGGCCAGGCCGAGCCGGCGGCAGCGTAGGTCCTGCAGGAAAATCGCGGGGGAGGCTCGAGAGCGACGGCGCGAGTCCCGAGCAAAGCGCGAAGAAAGCCGAGCCGAAGCGAGAGCGGGAATGTGAGTGTCCAGGGCGCGGTGCCTGAATAGATTGCGAGGAAGTCCCGCGGGAGAGCGCGATTCGTGCATACACTGTGAGGAACTCCATCGCGACAGCGCGATTTTGGAACGAGCGACGGCGCGATCCCCGAGCAAATCGTGAGGAAAGCCGAACCGAACCGAGAGCGGGAAGGTGAGTGTCGAGGGCGCGGTGTCTGAATACATTTCGGGCGTTGCTAGAAGTGCCCCTCCTGACCCAAGGTGCCCCCAGCTTTCCGCTCTATTTTGGAGCCCCTGGGGTCCTCTGGGCCTCGTCAGGGGTGCCCTTGAGGCCGCCTGGGCCACCCCGAGAATCCTGGGGGTACCTTGGACCAGGGGTACTTCTAGCAACACCCGAAAATTGCGAGGAGGTCTGGCGGGAGAGCGCGAATCGTGCATGCATTGTGAGGAACTCCGACGCGACAGCGCGATGCTGGAACTAGATATGAGGTAGTGTTCGGCGGGGTCCTTTGTTGTTGTATGTCGGGGCCAACAGTGCAGTTTGAGCAAGGAACCTTTCTTTGATACAGAAACAGGGTGCGAGCCCCGCGGGGCACTTCAAATGAAAACATAATGTGCGCCGGTGGGGGGCCAATAATACTTAAGGCTGTTCGCTCCTATCTGATCGCATGTCATTCAATACGTGCATCCCGAACCCTCGGTACTCGCCTCTGTTGGTTTCGATCATAGCCACTTGGGGGCATATCTTCCTTATCTGCCACTTGCATGTAGCGCACCCCCCAGAACAGGGGAAGAGAGGACGGATGGAAAGGGGGAGGGAAAAGAATGGAGCACGAGAGAAATGAGCAGGATTGGCGTCAGGAGCAGAAAACTCGGGGCAGCACCTGACGGGCAGATCGGGCGAACAGACCCTAGAGGGCGGGTCGGGAAGGCGTGCCCAGGCGGCCAGGTCGAGCAAGCGGGTTGCTGAAACGCGAATCTCGAATCACGGAAAAGTCTCGAGCAGCAGCGCGATTCCCAAGAAAATCGCGAGAAAGGCCAAAGTGAGAGCGTGACTTCTGAATGTGAAGGGCGCGACGTCGGAATACATTGTGAGGAAGTACCATGCGAGTGCGCGATTCTTGCAATGAGGAAGTCCTTGGCGAGAGCGCGATGCTGTAATCCATAGTGAGGAAGTATCAGGCGGGAGCCGTTGTTGTTGTAGTTCGGGATCCAGGTAGCGAGTTTGACTTTCAAGACGTTCCCTTGTAACGAAAGCAGGGCGCGAGCCCCTGGAGGGGCACTTCAATTTGAACAAACAAAGTGCGCCGGAGGGGGGATGAACAATAGTATTCTTCAGAGGTGAGAGTTCAGCAGCAACAGCAACAATCACATTACCCGAGTGTCCCACGATTCTATCTTCAGCATGCATTCGTCAAACCAGGGGCCAGCAGCACAGTCTGGTGACCCCACATTGTTGCCCCTTGTAAAAAACATAGCGCGAGCCCGGGAATGAGCACTTCAATTGAAAAGCGCAACGGTTACCCGAGGGGGGGGAATCAACAAGAGTTCTGCTTCAGAAGTGAGAGCGTGCATTGATGATGCCGCGAGCGATCCCCGCCCGAGAGCGCGAGGCGGGGCTCCCAGGGAGCAGCGGCCCCCTGGGGGCCTGGCGGCCGCCATGTGCGGTCGTCCTCCGTCCAGGGCTCGAAGCGGGGTGCCCAGGGAGCAGCAGCACACGTAGAGGGCCTGGCGGCCGCGGCATGCCGGGTGCGCGAGGCGGGCCGGGAGTTACCACCCGGCCGCCTGTGGCAAACCCTAAAACGACGCGAAGATCGGGACAAAATCGGATCGGGAGAACTCGAAATCTCTGAGAATCGGCGGGTTTGGAGGATGTATTGGGCGCCGCGGCCGCTCCAGAGCGTTCCGGAGCGATTTATCCCGATCCTAGCCCTGTTTTAAACCCCGCCGCCGCGCCTGTGCAACAGCGCAGCAGGAAGGAGGCCGAGCGCAGGAACGGCGCAATGCCGCCCAGTGGTCTGGACTGCGACTGGTCGTGAACTCGACTCCGTTTCCGTCTGCGCGGTAGGGGGGAGGTGTCGAGGGCACGCCCCGCGGGAGTGGGGCCTCTTGGGAGCCTATTGGGTCGTTTTTGGGAGGCTCTTGGGGCCTCCTGGGTTGTCTTAGGGGGCTCTTGGCCCGTCTGGCGCCTTCGGAGGCCTTCTCGGGGGCCACTCTGGGCCGTCTGGATGCCCCCTTTGAGCGCGCTGGCCGTATTGGGAGCCTCTCGGGCGATTTTGGGGTCCTCTTGGGCCGAGTTGGGGCCTTCGATGGAGCCTCTTGGGCTGTCTTGAAGCGCGTTGGCCGTTCTGGGACCCTCTTGGGAGCCGCTTGGGCGATCTTCGAGCTATCTTGGAGACCCCTCGGGCCGTCTTGGGCGGACGCCGACAGCGAATCAATGGTGTTTGCTTGCTGGGGCTCTCCTGCAGGGACGTGTGGGGGCCGTCTTAGGGGCTCTCGTGTGCCGTCTTGGGAGCTTCTTGGGCCGTCTTGAGGCCGTCATAGGAGCCTCTTGAGCGGTATTGGGCCATCTTGGGCCGTCTTTTACCAGCCTGGAACATATCCCTATCCCTATGCTGGGCACCTCCTCATCACGATGCCAATCTTAGGGATTCCCTTATTGAATCGCTTCACTCATTCCGCCGGCCCGTGATATGGCATCGCTGGTTTTTGCCTGTGTGTTCGTTGCCCATGTTGCGCTCTTGGGGGCGGGTGTCGTTCGGACGCGTTGCGTGGGGAGTTTTGATGGTGAAGCAGTTCCCTGGGGGTCGTCTCTCGATGGGGCGAAATAGAGTCGTCGTCAAGATGCTTCTTTGGGGGGCCTCTTGGGGTCTGTTGAGAGGCCGTTCGGGGGCGCCTGGGAGACATGTTTGAAGCCTTCTGGGGCTTCTTTTGGGCCTCCTGGGAGTCTCCTGGGGCCTCTTGGCGACATCTTGGGGCCTCTTGGAGGCCTCTTGGGGCCTCTTTGGGACCTCCTGGGCGCCTTCTGGGACGGAGGGCTCCATTTTTGAGTTCTCGGTATCCCTCCTGAGTCCCTCTTGGGCCCGTCTTGGGGCCTCTTGGTCCGTCTTGGGCGGCACTTGGGCCGTCTTGAGGGCTCTCTTGGGTCGTTTCGGCGCCGTCTTGGGAGCTTCGTGGGCCGTCTTGGAGCGGTCTTGGGGGCCTCTTGGGCCGTCTTGGAGCGTCCGGAAGCCGAAAAAGCCAGAACACAAAAAACATAGAAAAAAACAATGAAAATCAACGATTTTGGCCTCTTGGGGCTCTCTTCGGAGGCCTCTTGGAAGGCTCTTGGGGCGTCTTGGAGGCCTCTTGGGCTGTCTTGGGGGCCTTTTGGGCCGTCTTGGGGTCATCTTCGGCGTCTTCGAGCGCTCTTTGGGCGTCTCGGGGGCCTCTTGGGCAGTCTTGGGGGCCTCTTGGGGCACTCTGAGCGCGCTCTGGGGAGCCTGAGAGGCCGCACCCAGAAGGAAAACCATCTCTGAGTAGACTTGGTCGGGCGTTGGTCGGGGTACTTTTCGCCGGGGGACCCCCAGGGGCCGCCCCGCGCGCGCGGACTAGAAATACTGTTAATACTGTTAACCAGTTACCGGAGATCTTAGCACGCCCTGGCCCGTTGGGCCGGCGAATTTTTGAGGGCAGATCCCTAAGATTGTCGTCGCCTTTTGGCGTGTCACTCTTAGGGATAGGGATATGTTCGAGGCTGGTAAGTCTTGGTGTCATCTTGGCTGCCTTGGAAGCAATGTTGGACACCATCCTGGCCGTCTGGAGGCCGACCGACCGCCAGAGGTAAATCTCAGTGGGGCTGGCGGTTTCCGAGGGACGCGCGCGGTAAGGGGGGGGGGGCGGCCTCAGAAAGCACTACAAAGCCTTCCAGGTAGCAAGACGAGCATGCTGCAGCGCCCACCAAATCATGTGGGAAGCAAAAACAAAAAACGAGATGGGGGAGGGAGGACGAGGGAGTGAGGACGACGCCGAGGGCGCAGAGAGGGCGCCGATCGGACCCCTGAGGAGGAAGAGGAGGAGGAGGAGGAGGAGGAGGAGGAGGAGGAGGGAGGAGGAGGAGGAGGGAGGGAGAGGGGGAGGTCTTCTCTGCTGCTCGCACTCGTGGGGGGGGCGCGGCCCGAGGTGTCTCTCTACCTCCAAGACGCTCGCTTCCAGGGGCGCCAGCTTTACTACTCCTACGCGACCTGCGGCTCCACCGACACCTGGACCGCGGATCGCCACGTGGAGCGCGTGCCTGCCTGCGCTCCCGCTGCCACTGATCTGGCGTTGTGGCTCTCAGGTTGTCCCTCCTCCTCCTCCTCCTCCTCCTCCTCCTCCTCCTCCTCCTCCTCCTCCTCCTCCTCCTCGCTCTCTCTCTCTCTCTCTTTCTCTCTCTCTCTCTCTCTCTGCACATCCTCGTCTGTCGAGCGTGCCCCCCAGTTTGAGCGGCCAGTACCCGGCCGACCATCTGCCCTCATTCGGGGACGGGCATGGTACTGATCGGAGACGGAGGAGGGAGGGGGAAAGGTGGTAGGGACGGAACCCTGGAGGGAGGGAGGGAACAATGAGGAGGACGAGTGCGAATGAGAATGAGGCGGGATGGCGGGAGGGGGAGACTATATGTTGAACGATCTGCGTGATTGCTCATCGGGAGTGCCCACTTCTCGGGCGAAGGGAACTATGCACATGCACCAGTCCTGGCCGGGCCCATCCTTGGCCCCAGGATCGGTGCATCTGCCTTCCTGGCCAAGGCAGGAGGGCGTATGCACCGATCCTGGGCTCAGCATGGGCCTGGCCAGAACCGGTGTCTGTGCACAGTTCGTTTTTCTCTAACTTTGGCTCTCCCCAGCCACTTTGGCTCTCTTGAGGCCTGCCGGCCAGCATCCCGCAGTGCTCTCCTTTCAGGAGAGGAAAATCACACAGACACAATTAATCCTCGATTCCCCAGAAAATATGGGTAAATATGGGAAGTGGGGGGGAAGACAGAAACCCAGAAAATATGGGGAAATATGGGGGATATTTTTATTTGTGTGTATTCATTTGTGTGTCCTGGGGCCCCTTCATCCTTGCCGAGGCTCCCCCGCGCCTCCCCTCGACCGCTTCTGTATCCTTCCCTCCTTCCCCCCGCCACGGCCGCCGGAGCCCCCCCGCCACGGCCACCCTCCCGCAGAGCGGCGCGGGGAAGCTGCTGCGGTCCGAGGTCGAGGTGGGGGGCCGAGGTCGGTTCGGGGAGGGTGCCCGAACGCTCTTCGTGTTCGCCGGGTGCTCTTGCGCATCTTTAGGGGCACAAGATTTTTTTTGTTTGATCCGCGGGTCGAGAGCGCACCTCTTCCGGTCGAAGCGTACTTGGGGGAACAAAAAGTGACATAAACATAATAATTCGGAGGTCCGCGCGGATTTCTCGGATCGGCGCGGGGGCCCCCCGGCGGCGCCTCCGGCGCCGCCCCTGGCGCGCTCCGCGCGCCAGGGAGGGGTGTCCAGCGCCGAATCCGAGACATCCGCGCGGACCTCCGAGTTTTTATATGTCTATGTGACTCTTCATTCCCCCTGAGTGCGCCCTCGAACGCTCTTCAGCTTGGGCCGGCGGAGGGTCGCATGTGCTCGACGGGTGTAAAACAGGGCTAGGATCGGGATAAACCGCTCCAGAGCGTTCCGGAGCGCTCTCAGAGCGTTCCGGAACGCTCTGGAGCGGCCGCGGCGCCCAATACATCCTCCAAACCCGCCGATTCTCAGAGATTTCGAGTTCTCCCGATCCGATTTTGTCCCGATCTTCGCGTCGTTTTATGTTTCGAGCGGTCCCCGAGCCGAGGGAGCGAGGCGGGATGCCCAGGGAGCCGCGGGTCCAACGGGGCCCGGCGGCCGCGGTACAGTCGGGGCCCTGAAGAAGGAAGCCTTTTTCGTTGGGTAGGGGCTCCGTGCTCCCTGATAGCTTCGCAGCTTGCCTTATGTTTCCCTCAGGTTTTCGATGTGACATCGAAGTGTAACTTATGGAAGATAGGGGCCTCGTTCCTTGTTTGGGGTGTCCTTAGGTCAACGCCCCGACGGTATGCAGACGTCGTTCGCCGAATGCCCAGGGAGCGCTGGCACATGTTGGGGCCCGGCCGCCGCGGCATGCAGCGTGTGCGAGGCGGGTCGGACGGTTTTCTTTACATCGGGAAGCCCCGCCTTGTCGGGCGGACAGCAAAAAAGGACGACCCTCGCTGCCAATGTCGCTGCCCCCTCCTACCCCCCCCCGGAGGGATGGAGCTGACCCCCTCCTCGGACCCTCCCGCGAACTGTAGACTGCCCTCGGCGGCGCAAAGCTCTCCTGATCTTGAGTTGCAGGGCCCGTGGCACATCGAGATGCTCGTGTTGAGCGTGTGTCGTGCTCTGGTGTTCCACCCTGTGCGCTCGTCATCGGCTTCGGGGTCGGGGACGAGACCTTTGGGGAAGGGGGTCGAGGAGGGGCCTGGGTGCTGCTCCCAACTGTCTTGCACATCTTGGTTCTCGCCGACTCGCGCTTCTGCAGTACCAGGGCCTGACCTTACTTTGATAGAGCGCTGCGCTTCGAACATGTTCTTTCTCGCCGCATCGCTGCCACCAACACGCGAAGGCTCTAGCAAGCCAATGCTTGTCCAGCGTAAAGAGGAGGGGCTGGGTACGTACTGTCCCCGGGGATGAGGTCTGTACTTCGGGGTGCCGCGGATCTGAAGGATCACACCGTCGGGATGCCTGGGTCCTGAAGGGCCTCGCAGAGATCCCTGGCCCCCTGCGGAGGCCTCAGCTTGGCTCTATGCGGGGGGTGCTAAGGTGGATATGGGAGTTCGAGGCGGATCTTCAGGGGGGCGACACTTGAGCGACGCAAAGCCACGGTCGATGCGCCATCGTGCGTAAGACCCGTTCGTCGCCCACTTGGCCTAACCTGCCTTGAAAGTGGGCTGCGCGTGCCTTGGGTGGCGCAGGCGGGGGAATCTACGGGCTACGTGGGCCTCGCTTGCTCAGCAGGTTCTGTCCACCTCCCGCCCCATGCCACTTAGGGGGCTTGCAACCCACTGATAAGCTACTCCAGATTTCGTAATAAAGGGAGGGGGGTCTCATTTCGGGGGGGTCTCTTCCAGGCTATCTTGGAGGGCCTGGGTGGTCTGGGAACGATGTTTTGGAGGGTTCTCCCACGGGGGAGGTCTGAAATGGCTTGTCTTGGAGGGTCCAGACGACAAAAATACGCTCCCCGGTAAAATCCGACTTTCCCCGGGAAAATTGAACATTCTCCGGTACAACCCTTCCCCGGCTTGATTCCCCGGTAGAATCTGTGAGAGGCGTCTGAGAGGCTTCTGAGAGGCTTCTGAGAGGCTTCTGAGAGGCTTCTGAGAAGCTTCTGAGAGGCTTCTGAGAGGCTTCTGAGAAGCTTCTGAGTGGCTTCTGAGAGGCTTCTGAGAGGCTTCTGAAAAGCTTCTGAGAGGCTTCTGAGAGACGACTACTACTACTACTACTACTACTACTACTACTAATACTACTACTACTACTACTACTACTACTACTACTACTACTACTACTACTACTACTACTACTACTACTACGGACTAACAACTACTATACTACTACTATATAATAATACTACTACTACTACTACTACTACTCACTTACTACTACTACTACTACTACTACTTACTCCGCTACGTACTGGTACTACTACTGCTTCTACTTCTTCTTCTTCTACGATACTACTACCTACTACTATACACTACTGCTACATGCTGCTTACTACTACTACAATTACTGTTACGGGAAGAATACTTACTAATAATATTACTACGGACTACGACTACTTTAATGATTACTCTACACTACTACTACTAGTAGTGTTAACTACTACTACTCAAGTACTACGGACGAGTAACTTACTACTACTACTACACGACTATACTACTACTCTTACATGCATACTACTACGATACTACTACACTAATAACCTACCTAACACTCTACTTACTATTACTACTACGACTACTACTTACTACTTACTACTACTAATTACTATACGACGACTGACTACTACTCTACTACTACTACTACTACTACTACTACTACTACTGGTACTACTGGTACTACGGCTACGACTACTACTACTACTACCACTACTACTACTACTACTACCACTACTACTACTAATGTCACTACTACTATTACTACCACTACTACTACAGGACTACTACTACTACAGGACTACTACTACTACTACTACTACTACTACTACTACTACTACTGCTACTGCTACTGCTACTGCTACCCCTGCTACTACTCCTCCTCCTAGTACTACTACTACTGTTACTACTAGTACTAGTACTTCTACTACTACTACTACTGCTACTGCTACTACTATTACTACGACTACTACTTCTTCTTCTACTACTACTACTACTACTGCTGCTACTCCTGCGAATACTACTCCTCCTCCTAGTACTTTTACTGCTGCTACTACTACTACTACTGCTACGACCACTACTACTACTACTACTACTACTACTACTACTACTACGACTACTACTACTACTACTACTTCTACTACTACTACAACTACTATCACTACTACCACTACTACTACTACTGCTACTACTACGACTACTACTACTACTCCTACTACTACCGCTGCTACTACTATTATTATAACTACTACTACTACTGCTACTCCTTCTTCTACTCCTACTACTACTACCACTACTGCTTCTACTACTACACTACTACTACTACTACTACTACTACTACTACTACTACTATACTACTTCCTAATACTACTAATACTACTAATGTACTACTTAGTACGACTACTACTACTACGACCTTACTTACTACTACTACTACTACTTTACTGTCACTCTACTATTCTACTAAATACTACTTACTACTATACTTATACTACTAACTACTACTATACTACACCGTACTTTCTACGACGGGACTTACTACGACTACCACGGGACTGACTACGACACTGTTACGACTACTACGGCTACTTTAATACTACTACTTATCTACTACTACTACTACTACTACTACGACGACTCGCCTATTAATACTACTACTACCACCACCACCACCACAACCACTACCACTACCACCACCACTACCACTACCACTACCACTACCACTACCACTACCACTACCACTACCACTACGACTACTACTCCTACTACTACTACTACTACTACTACTACTACTACTACTACTACCACTACTACTACTACTACTACTACTACTACTACTACTACTACTACTACGACTACGACTACGACTACTACTACTACTACTACTACGACGGCGGCTCCGACTCCGACTTCGACTCCGACTCCGACTCCAACTCCGACTCCGACTCCGACTACGATTACTACTCTCACTACTACTACTACTACTACTACTACTACTACTACTACTACTACTACTATTACTACTAGTACTACTAGTACTTACCACTACTACATAACTACTATACTACTATACTACTACTACTACTATACTGCTTCTTTTACTACGACTTTACTACTCCTACTACTATTACTACTACCACGTAGTTACTAACGTTACTACTACTAATTTTACTACTATTACTAATACTACTAGTACTACTACTTATACTATACTTACTACTACCTACCACTACTACTACTACTACTACTACTACTACTACTACTACTACTACTACTACTACGACTACCACTCCTCCTCCTCCTAGTACTAATATTGTTGCTACTACTACTGCTACTGCTACTACCACTACTACTACTACTACTACTACTACTACTACTACTACTACTACTACTGCTACTACTACTACTACTACTAGTACTACTACTACTACTACTACTACTACTACTACTACTACTACTACTAAGCCAACCAGTTGGCTTTCGAAGACGTAAGCAGCCCGACTCCGCTCGAAACATTCGCAAAAGAAGCGCCGCAGGAATCGTACATTCCCCAGTGCTACCGGGGAATGTCCGTTTTTCCCGGGGAATGTCCGATTTTCCCGGGCTAAGTACCGATCGCGGGTCCAGACCCCCTCCCTTTTGTTACGAAATCTGGAGTAGGTCAGGCCAGGCCTCACTTAAATTCGCACACGCTCAGAACCCTCCGATCCACGCAGCCGCCCTCGCGGCGATTCAAGAATCCTCCGCGAGGCCCGAGCGCTGTGGTCGGGCGTGCTCGAGGAGCCTCGGTTCGTCGATCCCCGCGCGGAGGAGGCCGGCAGGCGGCCGGGGCAGCGGGAGGGGCGACCCGGCCCCGGGGGTGCACGTCGACCCCTCGGTCGCGCAGTCGTCGCCGATGGGGGCCCGGCAGCCCGCCTCCGAGAGGCGGATATATATATATATATATATATATATATGTATATCGATATATAGATAGATATATATAGATAGATAGATAGATCGACACATATATATATATATATAGATATATAGATAGATGTGGACAGATATATATATATATATATGTATATATATGTATGTATGTATGTATATATACATATATATATATATATATATATATATATATATATATCCATAACCACAGCCTGGGGGAGCCGAGCTGGGGGGATAAATCCGAGCGCCCCTGGCTCGATTCTCGATGCGATGCTCGGCCTGGCTTCGTCTCGTGTCACACAAAGGAGGGCATCGGATGTCTGGGGCCAGAGGGTCGGCGGGTACAGATCCCCTCTCGGGTGCCGGGCGGGCTAGATCCTGGGCCCGATCGTTGGCCGCTCGGGGCTCGGTCGCCGAGGGGTCTCAAAAGTTGGAACCCCTGGTGGATTACGGAGGAGGGGGAGGAGGAGGAGGAGGAGGAGGAGGAGGAATCTTCGACGAACATTATAGCCGACAGGAACCAGGCGGATGAGGAGGAGGAGGAGGAGGAGAAGAAGGAGGAGTGCCAAGGGCTCCTGGGGCAGGCCCAGACCCCCTCGAGTCATGAACAAAATCGCGACGGGAGGTTTTTCACTATTTTCGGCCTCTGGGGGACCTTACGGGGCCTCGGGACCGTCCAAAACGACTCAGCATGAAAAAGAGGTCCTTGGGAATGGGCTTGGACCTCTGGGATCGCGTCATGAAAAAATCATGACGTCGGGGATTCGGGGGGACGGGCGGACAGATCCGGGGGGGGGGGCTGTCTCGGGAAGTCGAGGTCGTCGAGGGGTCGAGGGCGTCGAGGTCGTCGAGGGCGTGGAGGGCGTGGAGGTCGTCGAGGTCGTCGAGGTCGCTTTGGCGTCGGCGTCGCCGCCCCTCGGCAGGAGGCCTGCTCCAACCAGAGGGCGGAGGCCGACTGCGGCAGGCGCGCCTCCGCAGCGTCCCCGCCCGCCGCTCGTGCAGCTGCGGCAGGCTCGTGCCGGGGCGACGCGGCGGCGACCCCGCCGCGGGCGGCGAGAGTCAGGAGCGAAGGAAGGACGTACGCCTTCGCGAGTCCACGTTTTTTTTCGGTAGCAAGTCATGGGAGCCTGGTGTACCCTTTCAATTCCGTCTTTAGCGTCGGTTAGCGTCGATTAGCGTCTGGGGGTCGATGAGAGAACGTCGATTTAGCGTCAGTTAGCGTCGGTTAGCGTCGATTTAGCGTCGATTAGCGTCGACTAGAGTCGATTAGCGTCGATTCGCAAGAGCCGACAAGATGGTATGGGAGGCTCCCATGAGTTGCCACCGAAACGTTTTTTTGTTATATCGATCATGTTCATTGCGCGAACGTTTGGCTTTTGCGGCTGGTCTCGCGGATTGGGGGGGCGTGTTCGTGTTCGTGTACGCGGCTGGGCGCGTGTTTCCTTGGTGGGCTCCCTACACAGGCTGAACGCCGCCAGCGGGCCAGAGTCAGGCGATCGCAAACATGGATCAAGGGCGCGTGGATTAGCAACGGGTCCCCTTTCCATGGGACAGCGCGGACTTCCGCCGCCGAGCGAGGCGGCAGCGGCCGCATTTGGGGGAAGGCACCTCCCCCGACTCCTGGGTCGCTAATCCATGTCTGCGCGCCCCCGACAGAAGGCGGCCAGCATGGAGCGATCTGGCGATCCCGGGTGGAGCGCTCCACGCTGCCTCACAATCGGGCGCCCGTGGCCGCCACGGCACGAGCCCGCCGCAGAAGGCCCCACCTGGCGCCGGCGCGCGCTCTCGAGGGGGAGGGAGGGGGAGCGGTAGGGGGGGGGGGTGCTGTTTGAGCGACGACGAGACTCGAAGAAGAAGAAGAAGAAAACGAAACGCAATAAACATAA